ACCGCGTGCTCGTACTTCCCCAGCCGCCTCTGCAGGAGCTCCTCGTAGCTGAGCAGGAAGGCCGCCTTGTCCTTGCTGGGCAGCACCACGGAGGCTCTGAAGGTTTCCGTCCCCTTCTCCCTGGAAGGAAGAGAAGAGGGAACAGGCCGTGGGAGAAAGCCAGGTCCCCTCCAGTCCTCCCCAGGGCACCAGCCAAACTCTCTCAGGGAGATTCCTTATCGTGGACCGCAGTGTTTCCCTGCCATCCAGCCAGCCACCACCCACTGCACCTGCCCTACAGGGACTCAGGATGGAGAGAAACAAAAGACTGGCCCTGGATGGTTAAGATGCGTACCTATGGAATAAGGTCAATGAGCTCAGACTCCTGCATCTTCCCATATCTAGAAAAGCACTAAAATCATTAACTTTAGATGTCTGTTTTAGGGGTTAGCAGTAATCTTTTGATTTTGGACTGCATGGGCTTGGTTTTGTCTCCTTTGTCAGCAAAAACTCCTGTACATCCTGGCCCCTCCCTCACCTCTTTGGAATGGTTCCTCAGAGCTTCCAAGAGGTGGTCTCCTGGGCCATAGTCCTCAGTAATGCCTCCGAAAAAACATAATTCTCGACTTTTGGGTTGTGCATATGTTTTTCAGCCAATATTAGAAAAAAAAACCCTAAAAGTTAGTATTGGGAGGAGAAGCAAAGACCTGGCTCTAGAAGAAGGTCATGCAGGTTCAAAGATACTGAAGATCAGAGAATTGAAAGGTTCCTGAACTTTCCTACTCGGGGAAACCCGAGTCAGACCAGAGCGGACAAAGGGGAAGAGGGCTGAAACAGGGGACCTCCAGGACAAGCAGACACATGTGTTGTGATCCAACTAGACGAAACTGTGGCATGATTCTGAACAATTTATAAGGTGTCAGAAAAGAGCCTCAGAAAGCCCACACCATCTTCTCTAGATACTAAGATCATTTTCCTTCAAAGGGAGCGGGGGACTTTTTTTCCCAAATGGGCTGGGAGAGAAAGAAACAGAATCTCAGAACACCAGGTGGTTCTGCAGTTCGTCTCATTTTTGGAGTCATTCACAAGAAATTGATTTATTGATTTTCCATATTTAGATTCAGCTTCTAGACAGAGAATACTATGACAGATCAGAATTTAAATGTTGGCAGTTCTGATAATGCAAAAGTAAACAGAAGTAGGGAAAGACAAGTGCTGGAAATGGAAAAGGGAAGGTAGGGTGAAGAGAAGGAGCGAGGACATTCTCACTTAAGATAGTAGGGCCCATAGAAGATGGTATAGCTCTGCTTACCCTGACTGAAGAAAAAGAAGAAATAATACAAAAATTCAGAACGCAGAGGGAAAGTGGAATTAGTGTAAGTATGCTGAATCCTCTTTCTTCAGAGTAGAGAATCAACAGATATCTGATTTTTAGCAAGAAAAATTTTAAAAGCAAGACTATCATAACAGAGTTAGGGAAGTAACTACTGGAAAACTACAGAAATACTAGAAGCGGATGTTTCTCGGAAGGGAGAACTGGGCACAAGCGTGGTAAAACATTCCTTTGTATCACAAACCCTTAGCTACGATATAGATAACTAGGTGCATTTAATTATTTATTATTACGATAAAAAATAAAAAGGTAAATAAATACTTGGGGGAAAGGAAGCGAACAAGATGGGGAGGCAAAGAGGCGGAAAATCTGACACTTTGCTGAAGTGGACTTTTAATTCTTTAAATAAATGGAACTTACCCATTATCTTCTGTGGTTTTATTCCTTTTCGCTGTCCCCTTATCACCGGTTTTCTTTTCTCTCGCTGTAATTTCTCCCTGATACACCTTGTCTCCAATGAGCCTGAAACACGAGAGACAGCTGCATTGCCAGCTTGCCGTCCAAGACAAATTCAAACATGGCTCTCGTAACCATGACAACCCTAGAAACTGTTTCTATTTGCCCCTCGGATATGCAGGAGGAATGCATTCCAGGCCAGGACACTACCCTTGAATCATCCGTTTTGTCTGAGGGCAATTTTCAACAGGTGCATATGGTAAGACCTGAACCACGGGGCCTCTGTGATTCTCCAGGAGGAAATCAGAAGACCTCCTCAAACTTCCAAGAAGATTCGCCAGCTTGAATCTGGCGCAGACCTAGAATTAAACCCAAACACCAATTCTGCATCTCTCTATGTCTTAGTTCAGGAGAAGAGAAGAAATACATTCTACCCAGTACATCCAAGGTTTCATGCTGTCTGGTCCTTCAGATCTCAACTTCAACATTGCCTCCTCCGAGCCACCTCCCGACTCCCCGACCTTAACAAGCCCCCTCGATCTTACTTGCCACCTTTAGAGCATTCACTGCTGTCTGACATGATCTCATTTATTCGTTTGTTTACTTATTTATTGTTTCTCCCCACTGGGGTTTCTGGAGCAGAAATTTGGCTTTTTCACAGAAGTAGACCTTGAAGTATCACCTTGAAGAGTGTCTGGTCTGGAGTGGGGACTCATTCATTTGTTGGAGGGAAAGAAAAAGGAAACGAAGAGGGGACGGAAGGAGAGAAGGATGCAAGAAGAGGAGTGCAGAGGAAGGGAATCAACCTTCTTTCCTACGTCTTGTCCGGTGGAGAATTTATAAATTCTCACAGCATCTCAGGCTCACCCTGACCACCCCACATAGAAATCCTCACTCCAGGGTCTCTGAGCCATGGGTCACCTACATGGTGAAGTTAGTGATGAAAGCTGCGGCTGGAATCTGCATCTGAAACTCGAATTCCTGGTCCTCAGACGCTCTGTTCAGCATCCTGCAGGAAACCGTAGTGAAGGCATACCGGGAAATAATGGTGGACTTCACTGAGAATTCTGCCATCAAGGGTTTGGTTTTCTGTTGGAATCCAAACACACAGTATTCACAATGGTGCATGGTTTGTTTGTATCATTTTTTTTAGATTCCACATACAAGTGATATCATATGATATTTGTCTTTCTTTGTCTAACTTAGTTTGCTTAACATGATCATCTCCAGGTCCATCCATGTTGCTACAAATGGCATGATTTCATTTTTTATGGCTGAGTAGTATTCCCTGGTATATATATTATTTCTGATCTCTATGCTTTTGTTGGTTTTGTCTTGTGAATTAGAGTTTTGCATTTTAGACATACCCTTGAAATCCTATTGAAAGAAGTTATAGTACAAGCTATAAAGTCAAATGTAAAGGAAAAGAGACTCTCAGTCCCAATCCCCTCACCTCACAGATGTCAGACCGGAGTAGTGGACTTGCCCCTGTTCACACACTTAGGACATAATACATCCACCGTGAGAATTTGGAGTTCCTGATTTCCAATCCTGCTTCCTCTGTAAAAGGATTCCAGAGGTGGGCTGGCTGATCAAGGCTTTCCACAGGGGTCACTGTTAGCTAGCCAGTAAAATACAGAACTCCTGGAGCATCCCCACTCTAAAGTTACCTACGAACCTCAGTTTTCCTCCTTTAAACTGTAAACACTCAAAACAGGACGTGGAGCTGAATCCATTCTGCACTCGCACCACATTCTGACATTTTTCCAAAAATGTTTTCTTACCAACTTATCACTCCTTTCCACAAAAGTCAAGTACTAATAGGGGGAAAAAAAATCTTAAGTTTACGTCTTTGATAAACAGAGTGCAGAGCTCCACTGCAGAGCTTTCCAAATAAAAGCGAGCTGCTTCCCTGGAAGAGTCCTTGCCCGGTTCCACTTCTAAAACTGTTAAAGACCGTCTACGCTTGGCGCCTTTGAGACTACTTTTGATGTCACGCTGATTTGCTCTCATTCATAAGAGACAATGATCACTTACAATTTCTCTGAGCTTAAAATGTGAAAATTAGGAGCCGCCTGACAAGTTACTAAGTTTGGCCACTAAGGTATCTTCGTTAGCGTTAAATTAAGATTATGGATGTAGCAGAATTTTCCATAACAGGACGTGGAGAATAGGAGGCAGAGTTTATGGTTTATGGCCCCAGGAGACAGGCTGAGAAAAGTTTCAAGAAAACTATTTTAGTTTTACAGCTTCTGCCCAGTTACTGTTTCCCACGGGAGCCCCTGCTGTTATTCACACGTAAAGCCCTTGCCTTTCCAGCACTTTCCACGGACACTCTGCTCACGTCAATCACGGGTGACCCCACCCCCGCCCCCACAAGCTCCCCATCCCTCCTCCTGCCCCTCCTGGGCTGTGAGCACGCGGAAAACAGAGGTCGTGACCTCCTCCTTTTTTTTCCACCCACAGCTCTCAGTGGAGAGGAAAACTCAAAAACATTTATAAAGTTGAATTTTCTGCATCTTGAACAGTGAAAGAAAACTATACATCCCCCCAAAAGACATGGTAATAAAGGAGTATTTAGTAAGCACTAGCATAGACTAATTCTATGGCAGATTGGGAAGAAATATCACACATGATTATTCCTTCTCTCAATGCATGTTGGGAAGAAAGTGCAAAAATTAGAAACATAGGAAGGTATATATATTTAGTTGTACACTGTAATATTTATTCATTCATCAAATATTCCCACTGATAGTGTATTTTTTTAAAAAAAATATTGAAGTGTAGTTGATTTACAATGTTTGCTTCAGGTGTACAGCAAAGTGCTTTAGTTATATATATATATACACATATACATATACACACACACACACACACATATTTTCTTTTCAGATTCTTTTCCGTTATATGTTACTATAAGAAACTGAATATAGTTCCCTGTTCTATCCCACAGGTCCTTGTTGTTTAGCTATTCTCTATACAGTAGTGTGTGTCTGTTAATCCCCAACCCCTCATTTATCCCTCCCCATCCTTTCCACTTTGGTAACCATAATTTGTTTTCCATGTCCGTGAGTCTGGTTTTAGTTTGTAAATAGAATTTGCGTCATTTTGTTAGATTTCGCATATAAGTGATATCATATGATATTTGTCTTTCTCTGTCTGACTTACTTCACTCAAATGATCATCTCTAGGTGCATCCATAGGGAGATATATATCTCTCTCTATATTTATTTATTGGCTAGAAGTCTTTCCAGAGTTCAGAGGGAAGAGAAATCCAGGAAGACCCTAAAAGTAAGAAAAGGCTTTTAAAGAGATGTAGAATCTGCATGCGGTGAAAGAGAACAGAAAGAACATTCTAAAAACACGGAAGACGCAGAAATAAGAATGAACCAGAGCCCATTCTGGGAACAAGAATAGAGCAGTTTAATCAGAAAGGAGGGTCTGGGGTGCAAAGGATACTGGCCGGATATGTAAAATTGTCAGGAAATGAACATCCCCAAAGGCCAAGCACAGAGCCTGGAATGGCAGAGGTTCAGAAGCCGTGTCATAGGAGGAAGGAGATAAAACAGTGGCCTCTGTTTCTCCCAAAGCAGTTCTTAAAAATCCAACATGCTTTCCATATTCATCTTCAACTCAGTATTTTGTTTGGGGTCATCGGCTGGAAAACAGGGGGCAGAAGTCAAGTCTTCTTGTGACATAATGATGTCTTCATGATGTTTCCTACAAAAGCTAACCAGATGGGAAAGCATTCTGGGGCAGGGAGTGTCTTCGTGAGCTGCTTGGGCACCAGAGATCTTGTTCTACATCACTCATGTGAGTCACTTAAAATCAAGCCACTCAGAGAATGTCCTGAATCACCCAAGATGCCATCTGGAAATGTGACAGAGTGTTTGCCATGGCCTTTGCCAGAAGCCAGGCCTCTTCCCAGAAGATGAACATTTTGCTGTTGGATTCTTGTCTAACAGTTCTTCACTGACTGTTAGAAGTCATCCTGGAGGTGGATGAGAACCTCAGCAATCATCTCATCAGCCTCCCTCACATTACAGAGCTCCTTGGAGTTTGGCAGTTGGCTGACTCCAGGTCCAGAGGCCTTTACTAAATCTTAATGCCTCTTCTTTTTGAGAAAAAACAACGTAGTCCAGAATACAAAAGAGAACGTCTCCCTCCGGGACACAGAGCAGGCAGGCATGGTGCTCGCTGTAAGAGTCAGGTTCCCTAAGCGTGTTTCCTCTCTTGTGCTGCAACCGTGTGTATCGGTGTCACCTGGCCCTCTCTGGGTCACTGCATGAGAACTGAGCTCGAGAAAAGGCACAAATCTTGACTCTCTGGCTACTGCTCTTCCTGTGAGTAATAAATCCTTCACTTCTGACCCAGGAGTCTCCCGTTTTGTGCCAGCACCCAAGAAACAGCAACAGACCAGCTTACTGGCTTGTACATAGGACAAAAATCTAGATTCTTCACTATGTTGACATGTTTATGTTCATATTTGTCTGTCTGTGATTATGTGGACGTGAAGGAAAATATGAAAGCAATGTGACACCTCAGTGAGCAGACTTGGAGAATGAGGTAGGGCTGGGAGGGCCGGGGGAAGGCAGGGGAGGAGGAAGCCAAGTAGAAAGTGATGAGAACACAAAGTCCTGGTCCAGACAAAGACGGTAATGATTGTGACACTGGCCGTGATCGATCTCGCACTGACTCCAACGCCAGCCAGGATGTGGCGGGGGGGGGAGCTCGGATGAACGGCTCACCCCAGGGAAACTGCTCAGGAATCTGTGTCCTCAGAGCCCGAAGGCACATCCCCACGCCTTGCTCTGTCACTGCATACACAGTGGGAAGGAAGAACTGAGATCATCTAGAATAAACTCTCGGCACTCCTGAACATTTGCCCAAATTCCATCTGTCAGCCTTCAGCAGGCACTGAGAGCCTGGCCTGACTTCCAGCATGTGGAGCTTCAGTCTACAGACGGGGGTGCTTCGCTCCCTTGAGCTGTTTACTTCGCAACAAATCCTTTACTGCTTGTGTAAGAGTGTCATAAAAAAGTAAAGATTCGCTCCAATGTTGTTTGTCATTGTAAGAAGGTCTTGGAAAACTTCACCCTTTGTCCCTAAGAGTTCTACTGAAATCATCAGGTCTCTTTTCAGAAAGAATCCACTTAAATAATGTCATAGAAAAGAAAAGTGTATAAAATAAAGCCTGATAAAAGCAATGCAGTGCGGGGTGTGGAGGGGACAGCTCAGTGGTAGAGTGCCTGCCTAGCACGCACGAGGTCCTAGTTCAATCCCCAGTACCTCCTCTGAAAGAAATAAAGAAATAAATAAACCTAATGACCTCCCACCGCCAAAACAAAACAAACAAACAAAAAAAATGCTGTTTCATGTTCGATTTCTTCTATATGCAACTTTATTCACTTTGGAGGAGCTGCAAGCAAAGCTCCTGCCTGGTCCAAAATACAGAGAATAGGGATAAATTTGGGAGTTTGAGATTTGCAAATGTTAACCACTATATATAAAAATAGATTAAAAAAAAACAAGTTTCTTCTGTTAGCACAGGGAACTATATTCAGTATCTTGCAATAACCTTTAATGAAAAAGAATATGAAAATTAATATATGTATGCATATGCATGACTGGGACATTATACTGCACACCAGAAACCGACACGTTGTAACTGACTACGCTTATATTAAAAAAAAAAATACAGAGAATAGCGAGTGGAACAGCTTTTAAGATGGACTGTGAATATACATACCAGCCTCTGCAGCAGTCTGAGTTGCCTCGGGACCCTGAGTCCAACCTATAAGAAGAAAAAAGATGTGAAATACGACTGTGAGGGCATCCTTGTGTGAGTTCCATGAGGCGGGTGTTAAAATAGGTTCAAATTCACACAAGGGGCTCTCCATCCTGAAAAGCAGTTTGACTTCTAATCAGAGAGCCTGTGGGCCAGGATCAGAATTCATTCCTCTCACACTGGGCTGACTGCTTAACCCCAGGGTCACGGCACCTTGTCATCCGAGGGTTCTCACCTCTGTTGGGGGAAGACAGATGAAATGACAGTCCACTGGAACATCTGTATTTGGTTTCCATTCATTTTGGGCGTGAAAATAAGCTCTTTGCTGTTGTGTCTGTTGCCACAAGTAAACGTGTCAGCTCGCCTCTGATGGGCTCATTTATTGCACTTAAAACCCCAGGAAACTCTGGAAGCCAAAATGAACTTACCTTGACCTTTCTTACTATGTTTTTGCTGGATGATTTGCTCTACTTTTCCACATGCAAGGGGGTGGGGGGCAGAGGAAGGTGATAACATCTTTGTTTTAAAAAAAATCATATAATAATTAACCAGCCTCTTTGTTCTAATTTAAAAGTCCTAGCTGGTTGCTGACCACGTCTCATGGCAAATCACTGTTTAAATAACAGAAGTCTTGACCACCACTGCTGAGAGATAAATTGGCCTTTCTGGAAGGCACTTTGACAATGTAGATCAAAAGCTTGGAAAATACACTTGGACTTTATGTAGACCTTTTTTTTAACAGCTTTATGAGGTATAATTGGCAAACAATAAAATTCATTCCTTTAAAGTGCAATATTCAGTGTTTTTTCATATAGTCACGGAGTTGTGCAACCATCACCATGGTCAGTTTGGAACATTTTTACCCTCAAAGAAATCCTGCACTCTTTAGCCATCACCTCCCAACCCCATCCTTTCCCCTAGCCCTAGGTAACCACTAATCTATTTTGTCTCTATGGATTGGCTCACTCTGGACATTTCAAACAAATGGACTCATACAGGATGTGGTCTTTTATTAGGCTTTTTTCACTTAGCATAATCTTGTCCCATCTGTCAGCACTTCATCATTTTTTATGTTTGAATAATATTCCATCATGTGGACAGGCCACATTTTGTTTATCCATTTGCCAGTTGATGGACATTTAGGTTATTTCCACCCTTGGGCTATTATTTATAAAATGTAACTCACACAGAGACACACACAGAAGTCTGTGTGTTGGACATTTGTCTTTATTTCCCTCGGGCAGATGCCCACAAGCGGAACTCCTGGGTCCTATCATAAATTTAACTTTTAAGAAATTGATAAGCCATTTTTCAAAGTGGCTGGAATATTTTACATTCCTGTGAGTACGCACGTCTTTTAATTTAGAAATTCTACTTATGGAAAAGTATCATATGGGGAAAAAAATTAACAGGAAAAAAAAGAATATACAAAAGAAACATTTCTGCATCTTTTAAAACAGTTGTTAATATTTGGAAATAGCCTAAAATATCCTTTAAGAATGCTTTGGTTAAATATATTTTGATACATTGATTAATTCGAAAACAGCTGTTGAAAATAATGGTATGGATTTATATTTATTGGCATCAATGTTAATTTTACTGGACTTTGGCTCGGTTCACCAAGTGTTTAATTCTCTGTCAGAAGGCTTCCATTTCCTGGCCCCCTGGTGGGAAGACAGGCCCACATGACTGGTTCCAGCCGATAAGTTAATAATGTAAGTAGCATCCTGTCACCTCAGACCAAGCATTTGATTGCAGATGTGAGGTCCTCCAGACCCCCTTTTCTCTCTGGCACAGTAATGAGCAATGTTGGAGATGGTCGCGGCTCCATCCAGCCCCAGTTCCCAGGGACCACAGTATACAAACTCGCGCCACTGACAACCCAAGATGGACGAGTTGTATAAACAAGAAATACACGTTTGTCATTTAAGACACTGAAATGTGGGGGTGTTTACCCCACTACCGCCCAGCTGGTGCTGGCTGATAGACTCACGACACATTTTAAAGTGGTTAAATCTGGTAACAAAACACTTAGTTTAACATGATCTCATTTTTGTAATTTTAAGTGTGTGTAAAGAACATGCACCCAAATGTTTGTGGTGGTTACCTTTGGATAGTTGGGCTCTTTTTTCTTTAAACTCTTCTGTATTACTTCAGTTTTGGACAAATTACCATGTATCACTTCCAAATAGAAAAGTGCAACACAGATATGTCCATTTTGTAAACTAAAAGTATAACAAACTCTTTTAATCTCTATCCTCTCCCTGATCCCTCCTGAGTAAAAGATATATATATATATGTATTACTGTAAATTACCATTACAAGTCATTAGCGTGTCCTATTCCATAGAACATGGAATAGAAAGAATTCATACAGAATTTAGGTTGACATCTGCCCTGAATCCAAACAAGAACCCAACAATTACTAGGAGGATCCTGGTTTCTATATCTAAAATGAGGTGGTCAAAAGACTAGGAATAGACTTACCATATGACCCAGGAATCCCACTCCTGGGCATGTATCCAGAAGGAACCCTACTTCAGGATGACACCTGCACCCCAATGTTCATAGCAGCATTATTTACAATAGCCAAGATGTGGAGACAGCTTAAATGTCCATCAACAGATGACTGGATAAAGAAGAGGTGGTATATTTATACAATGGAATACTACTCAGCCATAAAAACTGACAACATAATGCCATTTGCAGCAACATGGATGCTCCTGGAGAATGTCATTCTAAGTGAAGTAAGCCAGAAAGAGAAAGAAAAATACCATATGAGATCGCTCATATGTGGAATACTAAAAAAAAAAAAACCTCCCCC